TCATAGCCTGTCACTGTGATAACATGGTAACCTGTCACTGGGGTACCATAGCCTGTCACTGTGAGACCATGGTAACCTGTCACTGGGGTATCATAGCCTGTCACTGTGAGACCATGGTAACCTGTCACTGGGGTACCATAGCCTGTCACTGTGATTCCGTGATATCTTTTCACTGGGGTAAAGATGGTATCCTGTCACTGGAATTGTGTCATTACTTCACTATAACAGCAAGAAACCTCATCTCTGCTGACGACAGTTATTCAGACAGGTTGACGCAGACGATTATTCAACATTGAAGAACGATGATGATGACAATGAAATGACAATGTTGCAGATGCGAGCCGTGCCTGTCCGCCTGTCAGCACGCAGGATCGTTTCCCTGTAGCGGTCTCCTAGGTGACCGCGTGTGTTTGTAAATAACCTGCCGTTGATGTGCTTTCGCTCACCTGCTGCGTGTGCAAGGCGTCTGCTCTGCTAGATGTGAACAGGCAATAAACACCCTCTCTCTTTCTCTCTCTCTCTCCCCCTCCCCCTCAGTGACATATTTGATGCCATGTTCCCTGTCACTCACATCGCCGGAGAGACCGTCATTCAGCAAGGTGAGGCGCCCAAGCATCTCTCTCTCACCCCTCAGTCTTGCCACCGTAAAGAGCTCCCTGTCACCCTGGATCTCACCTGCCTCTTATACAGCCTGCCTGTCACGTAGGTGGGTGAGGCTCAGTGGGCTAGGAACCTGTGTCTGTGATCGGATGGTTGTTGGTTCATATCCCGTGGCCGGCAGAGAGATGTCACCGTTGGGCCCCTGAGCGAGGCCCTTAACCCCCGATTGCTCCCGGGACTGGCCGGCCCTTTGCACAGCTCTTTGGATAAAGGCGTCTGTCATTTGACAGTTTTTCATGTCCCACTCACCACTTCTGCTCCTCCACCTTTTCTCTGTTTTGCTGTTTGGAGCTGAAGGTCCTGTTTCAGCAGATGTCTTTCCCACCTCTCAGCAGCCAACTCCCGCTCTCTCCCACCTGCATCAGCCTGCGTCTGTCCTAATTCGGTCCCAAGGACGCCGGTGCGCAGCGTTGTGAGCTCACCCCTCTGAACCCCCCCCCCCCACCCGGCTGGTGTCCACTGGCCCCCGGTGGTGAGAAACGGCCATTTCCTTCTGCTGAGAGAGGCCCGGAATAAAAGCCGGGGGAACGGCCCCATTGTTTTGGGGTGGAATCGTTCCATTTGGTTAAACTCTGGCACTGGAGCAAATTCCGAAAAAAAAAAAAAGTCTCTGTTTTTCTCCTCGTTCCTTTTAAAGAAACTCCCTGCGGTCTGGTTTTGGCGCTGGCCGATCCAGGTCTGCGGGGGCCTCCCGCCGTTCTCAGGCTCGAGCCCTGGATTTGATGCTCCTTTCCGGGGGGGGTGGCCGTTGTATCCGGTCATGGGGGGGCGGGCAGGAAGCCTTTTGGAGGATTTCTAATATTCTGCAATTCACACGGTGGTCTGCGTGCCGGTGGGGACCAGAGACATTCATGCGCGCTACCGCAGGTCTGCCTAATGACACGCTTCGAACCCGCGCTGCAGCGACACGCCACATGTGTGCCAGTCAGGAGTGTGCATTAAACTACGGGCTGAGGTTCAGCATTCTCATCGCCGTAGACACACGTCTGTACGTACACAGACAGTGACATGTGGGTGTACCTGCACCGACGACTGGCACGCGGGTGGTCCATAAGGCCTGACGTGGATAAGAGCATCCATGCCCTGCCTCTTTGGCCTATTGTCAAGGGTCTCTCCAAGAACCGGCCAAACACAGCTTATGATACCTGAGCTGCCATCTTCTATAAATGGCCTGTGTCCTACCGGCACCGCGTGGCTCAGCGGGTTAGAATGCTGCGCTTCTGACCATAAGGTCATAGGTTTGAATCTCTGGGTCAGCAGAGAAATTTGGGCCCCCAGGTGGCCTGAGGACAGTCTGACCCCTTGCTTTGGATGAAAAAGTCGGCTAAAAAAAATAAAATGCAGTGTGTCTGTTGTTTTTCTATGTAGTGAGTGAATGAATTAGGGAAGGGGTGCATAGGGAGTGTGTTAATGTACAGTGTGTGAGAGAGAGAAAGAGTGTATTAGTTAAATATTTGCTTGCCCTCAGTTTCTCGGGTGGGTAGGGAGCAGAACAAAAGCCTGTGAAGTGTGTGAGATAGCATATTGGGGGGGTTAGGAAGGAAGTGGAGGGAGAGAAAGCGGGTGACAGGGAGGAGGGAGAGAGGGCGTCTGAACGGCAGGAGGCGTCGCGAGGAACGGCGATGGGCGGGATGCGCACACCCCTCCGGTGAGATTCATCCTTGCTGTGATTTATTACCACCCCCCCCCCCTCTGCCCAATATTAATTAGCCCCGTGAACTCTGGTGAACCTCACTGGGAACACGCCCTGTGACTGATTCACACACAGAAGCAGCTTGGTCGTTAAGGCGGGCGGGCAGGGCGGGGGGGGTCACCAAACAGACCATGTCAGCTTTTAGAAGATGGAAGAAAGTCATATATCCTGGCTGATCTCTCGCCGGCTAATTGTGTCAAATACTCTCAGGTGAGTCCTTTGAGTAATGGTAGGTGTTCTTTTTTTGGAGGGGGGGGGCGGTTACATACCTTCCCCCTGCCTACTGTCTGACCTGCTTCATTAATTACCAAGTCTTTCCTCGCTATTACCAAGCGAAGACAGAGCCTTCAGCAGAGCGACCAGCGTCCGTCACACAAAGGCCTTTTTCAGCTCAGCTCTGGGCATCACTGATATAAGTCGGCCGATTTCGGTGCGCGCTGTTCCCCCGGAACCCACCGGGGGCAGAGCTGAAGCGGCCCAGGGTCAGGGGCTCCTGTGCACACCTCACTGTGGACGGCAGTGTGCCTTAGGCTGCCAGTGAAGTGGTGCGGGGTGAATCTCCTTATCTTCACTTTGTGGTAGGAAGGTGTGGGGCTGTGTATCGACCCAGTGAGTGGGTCTAATCTCCTAGTATGGGGAAATGTTCGCTGTGGCGTGTTTGTTAGCAGGCAGGAATGCCCCATTTGAGAGGGCTGGAGGTAGGGTTAGCTGGTGGGGGCGGGTCACTGCTGTGGGGGGGTTCATCAATTGGCTTAATGCTGTCTCGTCCTCCACAGGTGATGAAGGGGACAACTTCTATGTGATCGACCAGGGGGAGGTGGATGTGAGTAAAAACACGAGTGTCTACACTGGTCACACTGAGATTTGTCTGAAAAATCATGTGTCCGTCCATCTCCTTCACAACCCAGGGTACATCCCTGCAAAAAGGAACCTACTGCCCATTATGTAAGGAATTACTATCTGTCCACTTTCCCTCTTCATTAAGGCTGGAGCCCAGCAGCGGTGGCTTAGAGTTCGGTAGCTAAATATTGAGAATTATCCCGTTGTCGTTTGTGGCCCCTTCTCAAGCTGCAACCTCTGTTCTTCAAGACAGAAAGTGTTAGATAACGGTCTCAGTTTACAATGTTTCCCTCAAAATCTTTCCATAACATGGAAGGCTTTTCTACTAACCCAAAAATGCGTGTGACAGGGGCCCAGTGCATCCGGTCGTCCCAACTTCCCACGCTGATTCATTTGTACAGATGCTTCTTATAAGATTGTAGTTATGGCTGGATGGGAAGATTTTCCCCCGTTTCCCCCTATCTTGCTGATCTGGCAGTCACTATGGCGATGTAACAGTCGCTGCATGTTCTTGCTAGGGGACGATCGGAGTCCCCTGCTTGTTTAGGGTAATGACTCATGCCTGTTGTGTCTGCGGAAGCTGCAACTGAGGCTAGATAATTGCTTAATTTGCATGTAATCCGGGGGCGTCCATATAGGGTATCCCCGGGTCACGTTCACGCCGGCGGTCAAGGGGTAGGCAGGAGCACGGTCGGGAGACACCGGATCTCCAGCTTGTCAGGGAAAAGCAAGACCAGATCGCTCCAGAACAATAAGGTCTTGTTGCTTTGAGCGATTTCTACTTAAAGGGAAGGATCTGGTTGAGTGCAACACGGACACGCTGGTGACTCTCTGAAGGGCGAGAAGCCGCAGCAGAGACAGCAGTCATTGTTTCCCGCGCCGACCTAGGTGCCAGATTGCGGCAATCATGGCAAGACAGGTGGGTGGGAAAGATACGGCAAAACAGAAAAGTGTTATCGCCTTACGTTAGAAGAGGGAGTGATAAGGGGCTCAGGGAGCCCACCAGAGGGTAACCTGGCTCTCCGGCGAGCCTGGGGAGCCCGGGCCCCGACTGTGGCAGGACAGAGATGCGTCTGAGACTGAGGGAGCGAGATTCCTCTCATGCCGAACCCATCCTGAACGTGCTGGGCTTCTAAGCCAGGGATGTTTACACAAGATATGCTGTTTCACTTCTGAGGATATCTCCAATGCAAATCCTGCCACTTTTGTTCTAAGGAGACGATAAGGAGAGATCCTGAGACAAGGAAAGTGGTCTTATGGAAGTGCATTCCTCATTTATTTATCAGTTTATCCTTCCTGTCTCTCTCTCTTTCACACACACACACACACACACACACACACACACACACACTCAGCAGCTGCACCGTCCTGCCGTAACTTACCTCACTGCCATCTCCCCATCTTTCATCTCGAGGGTCACAGAGTTAAAAGGAGTCAGCAGCCTGACCTCCCCTTCCCCACCCGGAAGACTCGGAAATCCATCCATTAGCTGAACTAAGCATGCCCCCCCCACCCACCCCCCGCCCATAACACAGTGAAACACACGCCGGTCACACAGCCGCACTTCCTCACACCCCTCAGGGCAGCAGAGGCAGGGGGTGCAGGGCCTGAACCCAATAATTCGTAAAATCAACAGAAGTGACCTTGTGGCAGCAGGTGGAACTGTATCTGGTGCTTGGGTGGGGGGGAATGGCTGGGCGCCGTGTGAGGTCGGCTGAGCGAGGTGCCCAGGAAGGAGGCCACCAAGGTCTCCCCGAGGGGGAGGCGTCCCAGTGTGGTTTTACTCAATCATGAGTTCTGAAGGCAAATATCTAGGAAGACACCACTCAGGGAGGGGGCTTGGGGGATTCAGGGGGCTTTTAAAGCCTCTTGCCCCAAGGGCGCAGAAAAAGATCAAACAACAGAGAGAGCAGCACCATCAGACTAAAATCCCGGCAAATCTGGAAGGTGCTGTCCTGGAATGCGGTTGGGGGGAGTGTTTCGGTCCCGAGACTGACCCCCCCAGCGGTTAACCGTGACAGCATCCTGTCAGGCCCTACTTGTCCGGGCAGCATTCAGAACCGCGGGGTGTGAAATTAAATTAAATGAAGTTAAATGAAATGATGCTTTATTTGCTATTTGCACAAGTACAAATACAGGTATCCCATCCTGGGCTCCTTTCACATAAACACACAGCTGAGAGTGAAGCTTGGGTCCGAGCACTGGGTCGGCCATTTATTCAGCGCCCGGAGAATTTCAGAGGCTGGTCTGATGGTGGAGTCCTCTGTTCACATAAAACAAAGCTGGTTCTGATGACAGGCTTTCGCACCCAGTCACACTCAATAGCTGATGAACTTATGAGTCCCTCTTCGGCTTCCATCTGCCTGCTGAGGACTTGTGAATGAATTTTATGGAGCTTCCTCAGAGGCAGTTGAGAGTCTTACTCAGTTGTGTCCCCTGCTGACTCGGCTGAACCCTCTACTGACTCAATGTCCCCTCTGCTGACTCGGCTGAACCCTCTACTGACTCAATGTCCCCTGCTGACTCGGCTGAATCCTCTACTGACTCAATGTCCCCTGCTGACTCGGCTGAATCCTCTACTGACTCAGTGTCTCCTGCTGACTCTGTGTGTCCCCTGCTGGCTCTGTGTTTGTCCCCTGCTGACTCGGCTGTGTCCCTTTGTCAAAGGTGTACGTGAATGGCGAGTGGGTGACCAGCATTGGGGAGGGCGGCAGCTTCGGGGAGCTGGCACTCATCTATGGGACGCCGCGCGCCGCCACCGTCAAGGCCAAGACGGACCTGAAGCTGTGGGGCATAGACCGTGACAGCTACCGGCGCATCCTCATGGTGGGTCTCCTGCACGTGCACACACACACACCTGACCACTCTGTCTGAACTATATGAGGACATTTTCTCAAATCATTACCTGGGATGTAAGGAAAAATCATACCATATCTTACAGTAGATGAAACGGCTATAGTTTTTTTGTTGTGTGTGGTCCCTGGGATTTGAACCCACAACCTTTGCATTATGAATACAGCCCTCTACTTGTTGAACTACAGGAACAGTAATCCACAGGAGCGCACAAAGAAGTTTGAACAATACCTTGGTGGGTGGGGGTGTTGGACCAAAGCACGGTCCTTGCACACTTCCCACATTTGTCATTTTTTATTATTTTTTTCATTAAAAATGTATTTATTTATTGAGTCTATTTATTTAATCATTCATTCATTCATTCATTTTTATAGTATTTTATTACTATTATTTTTTTTATTATATTTTTAATTTACTTCATTATTAATACATTAGTATGAAATAAATAAAATGTATTTATTTATTTTCTTATTTATTTCTTTTTCTTTTGTCTGATGTCTTTCATATGTGGGTGTGGTACCTGTGTTTTGGTGACTCCAGCTTTGTAGAGTCCAAGTCAAATGTCACTATGAGGAAATTAAAGTGTGTCTGTCTGTCTGTCTATCTGTCTGTTTGTCTGGCCAGCCTCATTTGCAGGAATGTCTATTTAAACTCACGCAGGAACGTCTAATTATTTAAACTTGTCCTCAGAGACCTGAACACAGGCGTTGCAGAACATTCTCAGCCGGAGCCTTGTCTAGAACTCTGGTGAAAGAGTTTGCTGAGAGCTGTAGCTGAATCTCTCCTGAACGTTGGGCTTAGCGACATGCAGAGGGCTTACATGAAGAACTGCCGTCAGACAGACTGTTCAGCAAAAGCAGGATCTGAAGCCCAGAGCCCCTTCTGTCTGCCCCCCCCCCTCCAGCCCCATTTACTGTATAGTAAACAACAGCGCAAACAGCAGCACTACATTAGAAAGGGTGTTCTGGGTCATTCCCCCGGCGGTGATTTGCAGATCCATGTTTTATGGAGTGTGTTTGGTATGTCGGCACTGCTGTGAGCCAGTAACTTCAGTGGGGGGGCCGTAAACTTGCCGACAACGGCGAGGTAGATGGGAGAGATGATCCTGCCGTGGCTCCTGTTTTATTAGTACTGTAAGAACTCTGGTGGGGGGGGGTGTTTGAGACCATTAATGTGCTCAGCCAGGCAAGATTAAAACCCTTGCCCTCCCCCCCCCCCCCCACACAGTCAGAACACAAAGCAAAGGAACGGCTCNTGGTGGGGGGGGGTGTTTGAGACCATTAATGTGCTCAGCCAGGCAAGATTAAAACCCTTTCCCTCCCCCCCCCGCCACACACAGTCAGAACACAAAGCAAAGGAACGGCTCTCAGGAACATCTATGTACAGACTCGACTCTAGGGGGCATTTCGGGGCTTTCAGGGGAACACTGGACAGGGGGGCTGGACACTGGACAGGGGGGCTGGACACTGGACAGGGGGGGAGTTGTTGGGGTCAGTGGTGCCGGATGGTGGCATGATCAGAGCCCGGCACTTCAGGACCGCTTCTGGGTAACCAGCCCAAGGTCCGCTCTGCACACACACTGATGCCATTGTGTCTTCTGCTTCTCAAACAATGACATCTGCTCTGTCGTGCCACACTTGTACAGGGGGCATGTGCGTACACACACACACACACACACACACACACACACACACACACACACACACACACACAAAAAAAACACGCACACTATTGCATGCACGTACTTGCCGAGTATTTATTTGGAGAAGAATAAAAGGCATAATTTGTTTCAAGTCGAAGAAGAGTGAGATTGTGGGGTGGGGGGGGTGGGCAGCTGTGTGCCCAGGTGTGCCGAACAGGTGTGCCGAAACGTCACCTGGCCATGTCCTGCCAGTGACCCACAAGCCCCTACCCGGTGCGGTCTCGTCTGGCCTGGTACGATCAGTGCCGCTTGGCTTGAGATTCACACGTGGGGATCGTGCCTTTCATGGACTGGCATTACCGCCCCCCCCCCCCCCAGTATTAGCAGAGGGCATGTTGGGGGCTGCCCACTGAGCCGGTGCTGCACCATCTCGTCCTCACAAACAGCACCCTCTGTCAGTGCCCGTCTTTCCATCCTCAGGACCTTCTCCATCGCGGTCTCCGTCGCTGTTTTCCCCTTTGCCCCACGGCGAAGGGGGCGGGGCTACACGCCATACTGCTCCGCCCACCCCGTTTGTGCACAAAGCAAATAGAGAAACTAAACACAGGCTGAGCAAAAGTAGAAGGTCGGGGTGGGTCCCTGTAATCACCGCCTGACGCCGCCTCCTGCTCAGGGGACACATTCTTTAATTCCTTATGAATTCCGAAATTAGACTAAATTAGAGGCAGGAGCTGCTGGGCGCTGTGAAGACACCCTTCAGAGTGCTATCATTTCCATATGCTGAAATGGGCTCTGTGAATACACTGGCATTTCTTTGGTTGGGTTCTAAGGGCAGCGTAGATGAAAGCGGCTTCTCCTGAGATCCCCCTCGTGGGTCCGGGCCTGTCAGGCACCTGTTCCCCATCGTACTGGGTGGGGGGGCTTGGGGAATCCCCTTCCTTGTGGGTGGGATGAGCCCTGAGCGCCTGCCGCCGCGAGTTGCTGAATTCGCCTCTTCTGGCGGAGGACTTCCCAGAGCCCGGCTCCGCAGGAAGCCACACTCGGTGGCGCGCTGACCAACTCCGGCTCCCCGCGGACTCACGCCCATCCAGCTGCGGCCAGAAATGTTGCCCACCCATGCACTTTTTTTTTTTTGGCAGATATACCCTAAAAAAGCACAAAAGTTCAAATCGGTCGAAGTATTTGGTCTCAGTTCCTTATTTCTTTGTTAATGTTGCAGAATTTTCGCCTTTTAATTTAGAACTTAATACATCCTTTTAAATCAGAAAATGAAACTAAACTATTGAAAAAAATATTGACACCCTAGACCAGGGGTGGCCAGTCTTACCCACAAAGGGCTGGTGTGTATGCAGGTTTTTGGGATAACCTGTAGGTCAGCTGTTCAAACCCAGGTGTGAGGACACCTATAAAGTCTTGGGCCGCTTGCTTCATTCTGTAAATGCATTTCTTGTGCAAACTGCACTGCTTCCCTAGATTTAAAGGGTGTGTCCTCCCAGATCATCTTCTCATGTCTCTCTGCGTCTCCGAAGGAGCACAAACTGGCCTCGTTGCTGCCGCTTCACAACAGTTCAGCTTTTGCCTTCAGTTACATCTCAGTCATTCTCTTCTGAAGTGTCTTTGGGGTCCTTATGCCAGAAGACCCGTGACCTATGGCGGAGACCCAGCTTTCTGACATTGGGCAGCACGTCGCTCTCCGCAATGTCTTAATGTTCTCCTGATTCCATGATACTTTGCTTCCATGATAGACGATCAAGGGATCGAGTGCCAGAGGCAAAAGACAACCCTAAGAGAGGCAATAGGCAACCCTAAGTCATGACGGAACCTCCTCTCTGTTTGTCCCCAGCGAAGGTGCTATTTTCTTTGAAGACTTTATTTTGTTTTCTGTAAACACATAGATGACATGTTTTACCAAAAAGCTCTAATTTCAGCTTATCTCTTCTAAGGACATTTTCCCAGAAGGCTGTTGGCATGGTCAGGTGTGTTTTGGCAAATCGCAGACGTTCGTTCTCATGCCTCTCGCTCAGCGCCGGGGTCTTCCGGGCTCTGCTGCCGTATGACCGTCCGTCACTGAGCTGGCGACTGATGCCGAAAATGAACTGGGGGTCTGAACTGCTGTCTGCACCATCAGGATTTTTTGTGCAATGAGCTAAGAATGAGTAAATAAGTTCAGTTTTTTTAGTTTGTTCCATTGAAAATCTAAAAAAATATATATGATATAAGATCGTTTCATTTCACAAGTGGCTTTTTAGAAAATGATGAGCATTCTTGGCCACACCTAAATATACACAGAGGCAAAGTTACATTTCAGGGATCTGTCCAAAAGGACAGACAGACAGACAGGTAGAGAGACAGACAGACACACATTTGTATTCATATATTTGTGCCGCAACGTCAAAACAGGTTTTTATTACATTGCTCCCCACAATGTAATTTATACATGACACACACACACACACACACACGCACACACACACACGCACCCGCTCGCACACACACACACACACACACACACACATACTCTCTTTTTCACCTGCTTCTTCTTTATCCAACAGGGCAGCACACTGAGGAAGAGGAAGATGTATGAGGAATTCCTGAGCAAGGTCTCCATCCTAGGTAAGTGGCAGACGTGTGTGTATGAGTACAGTCAAAAACTAAAAATGCTTATGTTTTGTTTGGTTACTTATGGTTAAGGTTAAGGCTGGGTTAGGGGTTATGGTCGTCATTGTTGGAGTTAGGGCTTTGCCCATAGAAATGAATGAAGAATGAGCGAGTACACACACACACACACACACGTACACACACACACACACGTACACACACACACACGTACACACACACACACACACACGTACACACACACACACACGTACACACACACACACGTACACACA